CGCGCCGCCCGCCATGGCAGTGCTGGCTACGCTCTCCCAAGGCAGGGCTGGGGAAGGACCCTTTTAACCTGCCAAGTGCCCGCAGCCCCTTGAGCTACACTTTTCATTATTTCTTTTCCCCCTGTTTTTTAGGGCTGCTTTGCCGCCTTCCTGCAGTGCTTCGCAGCGGGCTGCAGCCATGGCCAGCACAGCCGTAGGGCCCCCTGCTAGCATCAGCTTTGCCCCCCCACAAATGCCTCTTTGCACCCAGCTTCTTGCGACAGTGCCAGAAAACTGAGGTGGAACTAGAGAAGGTTTAAGAAGGCATTTAAACCTCTTGGTAACAGCCACAAATCCTCCCTCGTGCCCTCCCCGGTGCTGACAGGGGCCATTGGGTGCCCCAGTAGCCATGTGCCGGCACGGGTAAGACTGACTGAGCTGTTCTCATCGTTTAGAGCCAAACGCCCCCGGCATGGACCATGTCGGCGGTGCTGCTGAGAGCCCCTTGCCAGCCACAGAGCCCAGGCTGCAGGATAAGGCAGCCAACAGCAGCCCTGAGGAGGACCAAGATGGTGGCCCCGCCAACACCTCCTTGCCTGGCACTGCTGAGGAGGGACGTGGCGAGGGGGAGGAAGAGCCAGTGGGTGGTCTGAGCGGGCACCTGGGGCCAGGGGATGGCCAGCCAGAGGTTATCACCATGGAGAAGGGCCAGGAGGGTCCTGGGGAGGACAGCACATCAGGCACCCCTGAGGCAGCGCATCATGAAGGGAATCACAGTCCGGGCCTACAAGATGGCTTCCATGCCCAGGAGGATGAGGAGCCTGGCACTAAGGAAGGAGTCTCTGAGGAGCAAGGGCAGCCTGGGGAAGAGCAAAAGAAGGAGCCAAGACCAGTGTCTGCTCCCAAAGACGAAGAGGAAGGGGGCGAGCAGAGCTCTGAGGAAGATGACGAGCAGGGGGAGTCTGAGGAAGATGAACATGGCGAGTCTGAGGAAGATGGAGGTGAGGAAGAGTCTGAGGAGGAGGGAGAGTCTGAGGAGGAGGGAGAGTCTGACGAAGATGGTGCCGGGCCAGTGGGGACAGAGAATGGAAATGAAGGGGACGACAGGGAAGTGGCCAGCGCTGCCAGCAAAAGGGGTCGTGGCAGACCAGCAGCTGGCGGCACGGGCG